CGCCGTTTGAGCAGTGGCATGGACTGAACCGCTGCACGACGATGCCCGCGTTTGGCGAGAGTTCGGCAATCAACCAACCTCCTCGTTGGTAAGGTCAGAAGTCTGTCAAAGCCGTCATACCTGGTGAGCCGTCGGATAGCATTCACCACGTTCTCCCTTCATTTAGCAACTCACGTGTCCACTGTCCACCTCCGCTACCGACTGTGTGGACATCTCATGGGATCGTTGGTGAGTCGTCCAGTCCTTCAAAAAATCTGCAGACAGTAACACAGACAAAATGTGGAGCTGCATGAAATGGATGAAAATGCTGAAGTGAAGAGACGTTGTACATTGTTATTCCATCTGCAAATTCTCGCCATCATTGTCGTCCCAGTTGCAATTGGCGAGGTCATTCAGCACGCATCGAATGCAAATGATAAGCGCATCAAAAGGCATTAATTTGAAAAGCCAAGCGTGTGTTCTGAGGTGACGGTGGGGTGAGTGATGGCCTGAGCCAACCATTTTAGGTCATGTCAACACATATGACTCATGCCGGACGGTAGAAGGCTCATTGGCATAAAGCCCCTGGCCTTGTTATTCTGTGTCACAGTGAGGTTGAGCGTGGTGGCTGAGCCTGAGTCTCCTCAAATTGCGTCTTTTCTTTGCGTTGTTAGCCATTTTCTCCTTTTATACTTCCTTCAGAGCCGAGGAGAAATTCATGGCTGAGGAGTGTCAAAGCGTTGAAATTCATAAAGACGCCGAGTGCGAGGGTGAAGCATTCTGCACATCTTCACTTCATACCTCAACAATGGAGGCAAATCAACCCAGCCTAGATTTGGATGAGGTGAGTCGTTGATAATTCCAAATTTATCATTCCTTTACTGCCGCCGTAAAGACAGTTGGTTAGACAATTCATGTCAAGCGGAGACATCTGCTTATTGATTTTCTGTCATTTGGCGTGTTTGAATGGAGGTAGATGCACTTTAGAATGGTCACAGCGTAGGGATTCTCCTTGTTTTTTTCGGGCCCAGGATTATTACGCTGGAAGATCTTGCCGTTACTCACTTATAGTGACTCAGAGTCAATCGCCCTTATCACAGGAGCGAGGATTTGGCATCAACGTACTCAATGATGAAATTTTTTTTCTTTTCTAAATCACTGTACTTTACGAAGACTTGAGGTGAATCCAAGACGCGAAGTGCTTATGCATCCATTGTTGACAGAATGAGGGCAAGCGAGGCTCACTGAGCTCCGTAAAGGTCCATTTATGGATGGGGAGAGTAAAGTCTGCGTGTTAAGATAAGGCAAAACTCAAAATGAGACATTTATTGAGCTGTCGCTCAGCTGCAAATGAGTGCAGCCGTTCAGATTGACACTTTTATGGCACACACACCGCTTTGGGGAGGGATGAGGCGTTAACGAATTACATTTTAAATGGCGGATAATGTAATCGGAGTCGAATTTGGGTTTATGCAAGCATTTTGTGCGATTTTCGTTCTACAGGGCGCAGAGATTAGTTGCATTCACCTTCATTTCCACTTCTTTAACTCCTTCAACCTCTCATCCTCGTCAACGAGTGTTGTTAATATTTTGTTATCTCTCTGGTGAAGGTTCAATTCATGGATGTGGAGGATGTTGAGAGTAGCACTGATGAGCATTCAGTTGAGGCTGGAGCGTCCACTTCAACGCCCATCACTGGGACGTGCTGCCTTTCAGGGTCGGCAGAGGTGACAGCACAACACACCGAGTTGGACCTCCTTCAAGCATTAGGTTAGTCGGCACCTCATTTATCACCCTTTCCATTGCCTTTACGATCCCATTCCGA